TTTGCAGAAAATTTTTATCATCAATTTTGCTGTTGTCTTTGTTGTTGTCTTTGTTGTTGTTATAATAATTAGGTGTATCACCTAAATGATTGAATTCAATTTATCATCATTTGGGTTGATCTGCAATAAGGTATCGATAAGTTGTATCAGATGAATAAACTGCAGCATATAACTTTTGATAGCCTAATTTTTTTTTTTTTTTTTGATTAAATCAATGAAAAAAAAAATGGAAAAAAAAAAGAAAGAAAAAAATTGATTTGAAAAGTAATTTTATTAACAAAAATTTTCTAATTCTTCTGCACCACTGATAGTGCATATCCATCAAAAAAAAAAAAAAGAAGTTTTAGAAAAAATCTTCAAGCTAATTTTCTTCTCTTTTTTTTTTTTGCTTTTGTTTATTTCTAGTTTTTTTTTTTTCAGTTTTATTGCGCTTCTTTTAATAGTTAAAAACTGACAACTGTTTATTTCAAAAATCAAGCATAATTATTTAAATAATCAGGAAAAAGCAGGCTGAAAAAAAAAATGATCCTTTATTAATGATCCTTTATTAATCCTGTTCTTTACTGACTTTTCAAACTTTTTTGCAATACCACTGATACTTTGTCAAAAATGTTCTTATTGAAAGAAAAGCCTCACCAAGACAACTCAGTAAACTATAAAATGAATGCTCAGTTTAGAATTAACCGTTAAAAAAAAAAAACAGTCAAATCTTCCAAAACTGGATTACTTCTGTTAACCTCTGTTAACAATACCTATTAACGTTGAAAATGTTGAATTTAATTGTTGTCGCCACTGTTGACCCCCATCAAAATATCAGGGAGGTGATAACATAAAAGTAAAACTTTTTTTTTGGTACAGCAAACAAGACGAAAGAATAGATACATTAGAAAACTGAAAATTTTAAGAATAAAGCAACAAGTATCATAAAATACAAGTGTTCTCTCTCACCGCCTCTGTATTTCAAGACTATCTTTTTCAACATCATTCACCTATTTTCTAAAGCAATTACTCATATTGTAACTGAAGAATTTTTAATCAGATAAGTTATTAGCCTGTTAAATCAGCAGTACGATAAAGTTTTTGTTATCGTAGAATAAGAATTTATTGTGGACTAAAACATTGGTGCTACAGTGATTACGTTGTAATGAGATTTCGCAGACAGTTGTGGAACTGTTACAATAGACAAATGTCATCAAGAATTAGAGAATGTGACCAAGAAACCTGGAACACTAACTGGTTGATTTTAATTGTTAAAAAGCTGTGACAGGTTTTGTCGTTTTCTGGCAAATTTATAAACGCATATCTGTAAATTACAAATGTCACAAATAAACGACAGCATACTGGCAAAAAATTGCTAATTTTGTTTTTCAAACTCAAACTGAAGGATACACCTTTTTCAGTAGTTGTGAATAAAAGATCGTTGTAAAATCTGTTTAGTAATCTTTTTGTAACTCTTATGTTTATTACACTCTTATGCTAGCACTAAGATTTTGCTTAAGTACCTATTTTCAAGTCTTAGTCGTTGTCTTTTTCGTCTTTTTTTTTTTTTTTTTTTTG